CATTCTTGTTAATAAATTTGTTAATTCACTGCTAAAATTTCCTTATATCCGTTTCAATCAAACCCAACCATAACAAAAGCGTATTCACAATTCGTAGCTAATAAACTCGGTCCCTAAATGCTGATGTCCATTGTGAAAATTTGCTGGTCTCTTTGCTTTTGTTGCTGCTTGTGTTGTTGTTTTTATGTGGTTTCTGTTTTGCTTGGTTGCCAAAATAACAAATAATATTATTGTTGAGCTCAGTGGCCCCTGTCCAGCTGAGCTGAGAGCACTGAGCTGTAGAGCTGTACAGCTGCAGAGCATCAGGATATGGCTACGGATAATAACGATGACAATGAAGCTGATGATGATAATGATGAGGGCCCTCAATTAACTGCAATTCAATTACACATGCTCGCTCCAAGTTCTGGCCCAGTCCAGCTGCTTTGCACAACAATTAATTAGGCAAATGGTGGTCGAGTAGCTCAATGAAAATCGAAATCAATGGGTATGAGGTACGATAGATATGGGGACGATTTGGTAAGGGCAGGGCAGAGACTCTGATTAGGCTGTGGGGCTTATGTAACATTCCAATTAACTGTGAACTACAGAAGACCAATAGAGCTTTCGATACGCATTTGAAATGCAAATGCCCCAAAAAAGGACCCAAACCCATTGGGGAAATCCACTCGCTGGCCACGACGTACGACAGTTTGTGCTACGAAAATATACATATGTATGTATGGGAGAATGCCACTGACTGACTGCAGCATATGTATTTTCAGCTGTGTTATCCTTTTGCCTCAGCATTTGCCTTGTGCCGTCTCCCATCTGCCTGCTGTCATACCACGGACGTAGTTCAAAGTCAAATTCCGTTTCATCTGCAGGCGGTTTGCCTTATTTTCTTTAGATTTTCCCTAAATTAGGCAGCTAGATAGAGAGAGAGAGAGACGGATAGATAAAGAGCGAGATGGCCAGCAAAACTCAATGTTGTCTTATTTGATGTTGTTGTTGTTGCTGCTGTTGTCATGTTGTGACATGTCGTGTTTATGGGATTTTGTTACTTTTGGGTTTTCGTTCGTCTGGCTCCTTTTTATTTTTCATTTTTTTCTCTATCTCTCTCTCTCTCTCTTTTCTTGTGTGTCGTCTTTAGAAAATGATTTCATTTTATTTAGAATTTTGTGAAATAAGATATTTATTTGGTTCTTAGTCGGTTTTCGGTTTTCGGTCCTCGGACTTGGCCTTTTCCAAATTGGCAAATAAATAGAGCGGCGGTCCGGTTTGGTTCGCTGCTCGCTTTGTCGCTTTGTCGCTTTTTGTCAGCTTGGCTCCCAAGTCCCCAAGTCAATTGTTTGACTTAGGTCAGTCCTTGGGCGCCTCGCATTCACATTTGTTTGGCTTTTCGCAGTGTATTAAGCATTTTCTTCTCTATTTTCGTTCTGTTTTCTTTCTCCTCTTTAGCTCTGGCCAAAAAGCAAATTAATTTTGTCATCTGTTCGAGCAGCTAGCTCAATGGGAAACTTAACTTAAAAGTGAGTTCGTGCTGAGCATGTGAGACAGTTCCTATTCATCGATTTGAATTGCAAATTCATCTGGCCTGACGGACTGCAGAGGGAAATATGAAAATGTAAGCCATCCGAATGAATGTATAGACTTTGATTACAAAAATACACGATATGCGATTAGTAGAGGGTACGTATTCACATAGAGCTCGTCCCACATTCACAATTAACTCTATCATCTACATACAGACGATGAATGTTTATGCCTTGAAAGCAATGCACAACTCTTTGAGAGCTGCTAAGTCAAAGGATATCACAAGTTGTTCCACAAATCTAGAAAGCTGATTGAGAAATTGTAAACATAAATAAAATGTCAAATCTAAATGAAAGACTTTTATCATATGTGCTGCAAAAAATAATCGTGCTTAACTTGAAAGAGACCAGAGATATGTTGTACCTTTTATAGAGCTAATCCTTCATCCTTCATTGAGACAGTCATATGCGTACACATACACCAACGCACACATGCTGAGACATATAAGCACACACACACACACTGGTTGACACACTCACACATAAACACACACTGATTCACACACACACTCATAGAAATACATATTATGCAATTTTTGCTCCATTTATTCT